TAAGATGATTCTAATGTTGTGGATGTGAATCCTATGACATCTGATAAATTTTCTGATTTTTCTGAAGGTCTAAAAAATAGTTTAAATTTGATTCTAATTGAACTTAGAAATTAAAATATCCAGAAAATAATTAATTCCAGTGGGAATGAGAACTCAAATACTAGTTAAATGCCTATTGTTGGTAAAAGTATTATGACGTCAAAAGATATAAATGTTAATTTAGATTCATTTATGAGTGAAATTTCTAAGAAAATTTCTGAAATTGTGATTAATAAACCTGTGAAGGTTGTAAAAGATTATAATGTACTTGTTAAAAGAAATGAAAATGAAGGTGATTTCAAATGATATAAAAGAAATTAAAGAAAATTTGAAGAATATTTCTAAATATATAGATACAATTACAATTAGTAATAAAAATCATAATTTTATAGAAAATTGTGATATCTGTGGCCGGAGGGGTCATAGTTGAAAAAATTGTTATTCGCGTGAGCGAAAAATCAATGAAAATGTTAATGTAAAATTAAATGATAAAAATGATATAATTTGTCATCGATGTGGTTTTACAGGTCATATTAAAAAGAATTGCATAATGAAGGAAGCCAATTTTAAAGCTGGTTTTCCAAAGAGACCACCGGTATTGATAAATCTCGTGGTACGTAATATAAAAGATTCGGTTATTTTAAATTTAAGTGAAAAAGATAGATAAAGATAATGACCGAATGTGTTTTAAATGTGAGAAAATGGGTCATGTGGCCATGAATTGTGTTCAATATGTGAGTGAATTGCAATGACTATATGATTTGAAAGAGAATCATATAGAAATTGAAAGTTCATATATTAATAACAAAATTTGTAATATATATAGTGTTGTTAAAAATAATTTCAATATATTTAATAAAAAAAATATGGATATTCAGAGGCCATTAAATTCAGGGTTGAATTTAAGCATGAATATTAATGATATTAATGGTGGTGATTCAAATATAATGAATAAAATTTTAATGATTGAAAAAGAAATTAATCAGTGTTCGTGTTTTCGTGTAAATATAAAATTGAGTAAAGCCTAATTAAAAGTAATAATATATTATAATAAAAGTTTTAATAAAAATAACATCTGGGAAGGAAAGTATTATTTATCTTATAAGCAATAGAGAAGAATATTTTAATTTAAGAATTAAATTGATATCAATAAAATAAAAACATTGACTTTAATAAATTCGTGTGAATAATATACCACGTGGCATGGTATTAGAAAGTTCAATGAAATACAAACTTTTGTGTAAATTAATTTTTAAAAAAATTTTTAATTTAAAGAGACATTGTTGTGAAACAATGTAAAAGAAAATTTTTTTAATTAAAAAAAAAACTTTAAATAAAAAGTTGGTGGACCATAAAAAGATTTTAAACTTTGACCTTGTGAAGAATTATATAAAATAAAAGAGTTTTAAAAAAGGATGGAATATGATGTGATGATATAATAGTTATAATAATAAATTTAAATTTTTTATATCCATCGGCACATCTTTATATTTTTTTTTGTAACAAAAAATATGATTTTGGTGATATTATATATATAAATATATTGTAGTTTAGTATTTTTGTTATATGACATATTGATTTTTTTTGTGGTTCATATTATTTTCTTAATGGATATAATGATATTGCATATATGTAGTTTTAACAGTGATAATTATAAAGATATAATGATATTCCATATATGTAGTTTTAATAGTGATAATTATAAATTATTTTTTTTTATCCCTATTCGTATTCTTTTATTTTGTTTGTGGTCAATTATTTGTTTTATAATTGAAAATTAAGAAAGGAAAAAATAATTGTAAAGTATTGTTGAATCCAAATTTACATGTATTGTAAAACAAGCAAAATAAATTAATTATTATAATTCGCATGTCGAAAGAAGACAATTCAAGATTTAAAAGTTTAATGTGCAAAGGTACGATTCGATAAATGACGAGAAAATGATCAATGTCCTAAAAGAATGATAATTATATGGTATCTGGGCTTTTGAAGGGTGGGCGTGTTGCAAATGTTGAATTAAAGAGATAAATAATAAATGTTTTTTATTTTCAAGAAATGTCAATAAGATTATTATTCTTTTGATAATATGTTTTTATTAGAAAAATAATATTTTATTCAGTGTGTGATTTTTTATATGAAATGAGTCGGAGATTTTATTAAATGAGTTGTATATTTATGAATTGGAATTTGAATTATTTGATATCGATTTTTATGATTATACTATTGGAATGATGAAAAATAAAGTGTAGTAGTTAGTTTTATTAAAGTTACAACAAAGCATGGACGGGGTACAGCCCAAAATAGCCTGTGGGCCTCCTCATCCACCTACGACAAAAAGAAGGATGGGAAACCTGGTGGAACCACGATTCATGAAAATGAAACTTATGACGGCCATAAACGACCTGATAATAAGCGGAGAAACCAGTCTACGGGGAATCGAGTTAGGGTTGCGACATGGAATGTTGGGAGTATGACGGGAAGTGCGGGAGAAATCGTCGATGTATTGCACAGAAGATTAGATGTGTGCTGCATACAGAAGACTAGATGGAAAGGAAATGAGACCAGAATGATTGGCAAGACTAGCGAAAAATATAAATTCTTTTGGCAAGGAAGTAATGATGGTAAAGCTGGAGTTGGGGTATTGGTTGCGGAGAAATTGGTAGACAAAGTAGTAGAAGTGAGAAAGCTAGATAACCAGACAATGGTTATCAAGATGATTTTTGGTAGTAAGCTATATAATATTATCTCGGCATATGTTCCTCAGGTTGGAAGAAGTGAAGAAAAGAAAAATATATTTTGAGACAGTCTATTGGGGGTGACATCGAGACTGGCAAATGAAGAGGGGATTATCCTGGCTGGTGATCTGAATGGACATGTGGGAGCGAGTAGTGAGGGTTATGAAGGAGTACATGGAGGGTTCAGTTACGGCATGAGAAATTTGGAAGGAGAGAGGATTTTAGATTTTAGTGATGCTATGGATATGATTGTCTGTAATACAATGTTTAAGAAAGAATCCGAGAGCTGATGACTTATAAGTCGGGTAGTACCAAAAGTGCAGTGGATTACTTGTTATTAAGGAGATGTGATCGATGTATAGTAAAAATGTAAAAGTGATACCAGGAGAGGAATGTATAAATCGGCATCGACTAGATATAGGAGATCTCACTCTTAAATGTGCCAGGGTCACTAAAAGAAAGTTTGTGCCAAGGCTGAAGGTTTGGAAATTGAAGGAGGAGAATCCTAGACGTCAATTCAATATGGCATTGGCGATTAAGGAGACGAAGGTGGCACAAGCATCTGAGGTAAATGAAGCCATGAAGAAAGCCTGGGTGATGACAAATGAGGAGGTATGTGGATGGACAAAAGGGCCGCCTAGACATAAGGAGACTTGGTGGTGGAGAAGTAGCGAAAGCTGTTGATGAGAAACGGAGGTGTTTTAAAGTATGGTATAATAGCAAAGAAAATAGTGATAACAATATTTACAAGATGGCTAAAAGAAATGCTAAGAAATTAATAGCGAAGGCTGAAGAAGAAAAAAGACAGTTTGCTAAAGAAATGGAATGCGCTGATGGATTTGGAAATATGGTTCGAATGGCAAAGCAGATGTCAAAAAAGAGGCAGGTTTTGATAGGTGTAAAGTGTTTGAAAAATATGGAAGGAAAAATGGTGATTGATAGTAGTGGTATTAAGAACACCTGGAAGATTTATATGAAAGAACTTTTGAATGAAGAAAATGAATGGGATAATAATGTTAGTTGTGCAAAGGTAGAAGGTCCAGGGTGTAAATTATGCAAGGACGAGATAAAGAGAGCAGTGAAAAGATGAAAAAAGGGAAGGCATCGGGTTTAACGATGGTGGTATCAGAGATGTTTAAAGGTTCTGATGATTTAGGGATTGAATGGTTAATTAATTTAGCCAATCAAATTGTCACAGAAGGAACTATTCCCCAGAACTGGCGAAGAAGTATAATTATCCCAGTATACAAGGGGAAAGGTGATCCTTTAGATTGCGGGTCTTACAGATCTATTAAACTCTTGGAACATGCAATGAAAGTATTTAAGTGTTAGAGAAGCGGATAAGGCAACAAATTAAAATTTATGAAATGCAGTTTGGTTTTACATCTGGAAAAGGCAGGACAGATGCAATTTTTGTGGTGAGACAAATGCAGGAGAAGTATCTTGCGAAGGAAAAGAAACTCTATTATGTGTTTGTTGATTTGGAGAAAGCATTTAGGGTGCCGCGTGAAGTTACTAGATGGGCCTTGAGAAAATCAGGTGTGGAGGAATGGTTGGTTATCGCAGTGATGGCAATGTATGTTGGAGCACAAACAGAAGTACGGACGGATTATGGTGATAGTGACAGCTTTGAGGTTAAGTTAGGACTTCATCAAGGGTCCGTGCTGAGTCCATTAATATTTATCTTAGTAATGGATGTGGTGGCTAAAGAAACGCGTGAAGGACTTCTCTGGGGGCTATTATATGCAGATGACCTTGTATTAATGGCAAACAGTGAGGGAGAATTGAGGGATAAAGTTAGTAAATGGAAGATGACTATGGAAGCAAAGGGCTTGAAAATGAATGCAATAAAGACAAAGGTGATGATTGGTGGGGAAAATCTAAAGATGGAGGAATCTGGTAAGTGGCCTTGTGGTGCATGTGGGAAAGGAGTTGCTAGAAATTCTATCCAATGCACCAGATGCCAGAAATGGGTACATAATAGATGTAGCAGGAAAAAAGGAAGTTTGATGTTAGGAAGAATAACCTTTATTTGTAGAACATGCATGAAAGGGATACATAATAATGATAACCTAGAAATGGCAATGGGTTAACCCTAGAAGTAGTATACCTGTTCAGTTATATTTTAAAAAAACTTTTAAAAAATAAAATTTGGAAAATAAAGTTATAGAACATCGCAATAAGACAGGGAAGATACCTAAAATTTAAGTTTTAAAAATTAATTACTTTGGGGTCCTTTTAATACGTTGGGACAAGTAACATAGGCGTGAAATAAATCGGGCTCCTGGTCCTCGTTGATATTGTCAGTGACAAATCTTTGAGAGAAAGCGACTGGAGTGGACTTCTCCAACGATTCAGGTGAATGAGTGTGTTTGATACCTGTTACAAGTTGGGTAGATTGATCGGAAATATTAGGGTTGGGAAACCTTGGGCAAAATATTTATTTTAATATATAAAATGAAAAGAGTAATGTTGTATAAGTTATTTTTGAAAAGTAACAAGTAAAGTTAAGTTTTCTTACTAGTTACAGCTAGTGTTATATTAAAAAATCTAGCTATTAGGAGATGCAGTTATAGAATGTAAGAAACTAGCTACATTGCAAAATTTATAAATTATTTATATAATCATTTTTATTATAATACTTTTATTATACAAATTTATTCTGAGATTTATAAATTTTAATTAAAGGAATTTAAATGATAACTAAATAAATAATACTACTGAAAAAAATACACTACAACGAATACAATATAATGTTTATCCCTTCAAAAAAAAATGGGCTTAATAAATTTTAACTTGACTTAACTAAATAAACTATTATCAAAATTTGTGTTTAGAAGACATGCTAGTTCTTCTCCAAAAATTAGTTTGCCTAAACTACACAAGTAATTTATAATGAATAAGTTATATTATATAAATATTTAACATATTATAAAACTATTTAGTTATTATTGCAGCCAAAAATAACTCGATAGTTATTTTTAAAATATTGACTAAACACTTAAACAACACTAGGGAAAAAAATATATTAGCGTTATAGAAACTTCTGTAGGGCAATTATATAAAAAAAAAAATTAATAAATAATTGTTTCTTTATGAAACATTATTAAATAATTTTAGAAGTATTATTTATGTTAATATACTTGGGAGATGGGAAAGAAAGTTCAAGACATGAGTAACAAAACTTAGAAAATTATAGAACGAACGAGGAAGGAACGGAGATTCCAGGAAGGTTCTCGGAACTATTTCAAAACGTTATTAATAAGTAAAATTATTAGGCAAAACCTTTTCGATTTTTATGAAATTTTAAATACTAGCTAAGGTTCGTGTAACCTATTTGAGATAAGTTTTAGCCTATCTTTTATACTTTTGGAGATATTAGAGGTAGAATAAAAATGACCTTTATGAGTGTCGGTATTCATTTAATTGATGATTAATTAAAAACCACATGCTTATAAATAATAAATTTAATAAAAAAGCAATCATAAAATTTTTAGAAAATAAATTTTAAAAAAATATTTAAAATTTTTTGGGGAATCTTTAGCATCGAAATATTTAAAAATCTCGTTTTGATTATAATAAAATATTGTTAACAATTTTATATTACCACTTTATATGAATAAATATAAATTTAGAGATGAGCCTTTACGATATCATAGATAAAATCGATATAAACTAAATGAGCAATATTTTTAGGAGATATTATTTAGTGATATTTATTTATGATCAAATTTATAGATAAAATAAGATAAAGATAATTACTCTCAAAAAATCTAGATATTTAATGAATGCTTTATAGAATAATTGGTCAATAATACTGGACCTTGAATTTAAACCAAGCCCATTTTTAATTTTCTGGTTCATATAGCCTAAAAAAATCAAGACCCATAGCTTTGGGTTCGGTTTGAAGCCTTGATTTAAGAATATTTATTTTATATAAAAATCATGTATTTCATAGGCCCCCAAAAAATTGAATCGAACATTGAAATATAGTAAATTTCGAAACGAAAAATTTAGTATTAGTATGATTCGATGTATTATTAGTAATAACAATAATTTTATATTTTTCTAATTTCCTTTTCTGATAATATTAAGTACATAATATAAAAGATAATATTCAAACATTTTATCATTGATATATTCTGTTGAATATTTACACTCAAAAGCTGTGCAAAGGAATCGCTCTTTTCCTAAACTCAACCAAGATAAAGAATGATGGCAATACGACTCTTTTGTCTGATTAAATAATTCCAGCCTCAACCATATGCCACCTAGGTTACGAATAGCTAGAAACAACCTAGTTCTAATTTAGGCCTTTTGCAAGGATTTAGACATTTCATAGGTCATCGATTAGGCTGCAAAATTGTTACGCTGAGATCATAAGTCTTTTGTGATACCAATATCGTTACTAGGTCACCATCCTCTACATTGTCACTTTTCAAAAGGCATATTACCTAGGCACTGTGCTGTCAATTCGATCATTAATAAAACGTCGAGACGCAGAAATACTTCCACACTGGAACCCTCTGGTCAGCTATGACGATCACAGACCTGATGGCATGACCTTAGTCCTTGGAACCAAGGTATATACTACTAGCTTAAGATTATACTTGTGTAGATCGTTTTGCCAGATCCTTTTTGGCCAACTCCTTATGAGATCAGAAAATATATTGACCAATAAATATAGCCATACCTATAACTTTTTCCTGTAGTTTTAGATACCTGTGGATCATTTGGACCTCGAGCCCTAATATTATTCAAAACAATAGGGCAAAGGTTACGTTTAATTAGAGGATCCAAAAGAGGGTTTCTACTTGCGACAAGTCGATCAAACTGTATGTCTATAAATGGGTCATTAAGCTCCGCCGACTTAACCTAAATAGTGTTTTTTAAATAGTTATATATTATTTTTATAATATTGTTTTATAATATATTTTTTATTAAATGGTATATTTTCAATCTTATTGTAATCTTTTAATATTGAATTTGAAAATAAAGATTTTAATTACTAAAAAAGTTAATAAAACAATTTCCTTAATTGATTGGACCATTTCTTTTTATGATCGAACTTTTTCCTAAGCCTTTGGGACTTTTTTTTTGATCTGACTTTTCCTAAGCATTTATGACTTTTTTTTAGATTAACACTTTTTCTTTTTAGTCGGACCTTTTCCTTGATTGATCCGTTTCCTTCCTTTTCCTTTTATGATTGTGACATTTCCTTTTTTGATTGTTTTTTGAATGTGAAACTCTATAATATTTAAGATAATAAGTAACGAACGATTATATTAATCTTTAATTTAAGATAATTATAATGGTAAATATACAATTATACATATATTTGTTATGAAAAAAAAGGAAAAAAAAAAGGAAAAAAACGCGCATAAAAAAATTAAAGTTAAAACTAATAATTTTGTGGGATGAGACTGCCTATGAAGCTAATGTAATTAGCCTTGTGAATCGCCATGGCGAGTCTTTGTCTTAAGAAGAAGCCTTCGCAAGGTTCATCGTAAGTTTGCAGATGTGTGAGATAAGTTCCTTGAAAGCTAAAGCACAATTTCCAAAGGTTGTAAGGGTTGTGGAAATAATGGGAATAAATATGTATTCTTGAGAAATTTTAAAATATTTCGCTATTTTAGGTGACTCCTTTCTCTCGAGAATATTAAGTGTATAATTGGATGGTGCCAAAGGATCAATACACGTGTAATACCAGACCAGGAATTGACCATGCTCCCAACGAATTTGAGAAATTCTATCAGGACGTTTCCCATCGGATCTGAAAAGACCAGAAGGTTCAAGAATAAAAGGAATTTGAGCTGATCTCAAAACTCTAAGGATGATTGATTGCATAAATTATGTCTAATGATATGACTTTTACACGAACGACAATGGAGGCTATGTTTTCCATTACCCAAAACAGGGGAACTGCAACCTAAACATGTGTGGAGCTGGGTTATTAGGCATTTTAAGCTAATAGCAATGGCGTGGGTGTGCTCATTTTGGTTAGGTTGTAATTGTAAATTAAGAGAGGGAATGACTTCAAGGAACTCATGGCCAGAACCATTAAGCAGCGAGGAGAATAAAGGATCGTCAGATGATTGCATTCTGGAAAGTAATGATTCAACGCAACTTGCAATAATAGGCTCATTCCAGTCCTTTTGCGTATTCGTTTCTGGAAGTGGGTGATAAGCGTTAATTGGTCATTTCTACTCGATAATGGCATCATTATAGGAAGGGTCAGATTTATAAATGGGAATTTCTATATATTTTAAGACAACTGAATATGAAGGCAGTTAAGGCAAGATCGGAAGGGGATCTGATAGTAAGTCCTCCCATCTTGTGGGTAAAGATGCTTGTGTCCATGCAATTTCATCGAATTTAAGGTTTAGAATATTTTCGATATGGACTATAATTCCATTTTCATAAACACCGAGAGGAATAGGGAATTTAAAAATGGGAGTTGATCGAAGCGCATATAGGATACGAGGAATATTGAAAAAAAATTTCAAAAGGAAAAAAAATTTATGGGAGGAGAGAAGGAAAATAAATCAGCCAACTCAAAAAGTGTTTCGTGTGTGGACTGTAGGAAGGAAGATATTGCTGTGTTTTCCTCAAAGTAGGCACCTATATGATATGGGTGGTCAGTTTGAAATTGTGTGAATTAGGTTCAATTGATTTGATAGAAATGAATTCGGATTTCCCAGGTATATTGAGAGTCCAATAGCAGCCCCAGCCTTTTTGATTAAATTTAGCTTTATTGACCTCGTCATTGGAACCACCAAGGATACCATCATCAATGTACTAGGCATGCGAGGATAATGAATATTTCGAGTTCAAAGATGTCTACCTAAACAAAATAAAGAACTTAGTAGGTATCCATGTTGTATGCCGTCAATGGAAGGAATTTTATAAGTATCAAATTGCAGGGATAGCAGTTGATTACAAATGAAAAAATTTTGTGTAACCGAGGAAAAGAGTACAAGAACTCAGGAAGGAATTCCGGAAAGTATTATAGGCATTGGAAAGTCAATTTGATTCGTTGGTGGGCTAATTTTCTAAATGTATTCTAGTTAAATGTACAACCGCTTCACCGCTACCAGGCATCTTAACACCGAGTTGGAAGGGGCTTAGGAGACATGAAGCTTCATGCTTTGTTCGAGAAGATATCATCTTGCCAACTAAGCGGCGAAAAATTGAACCAATAGAAATTGGTCTGATATCATCATTGGGCTTTTAAAGTGCAATTAGCCTAGCACCGAAAATGATTGGAGAAACAAAGCTTGGTACTTCATCTTTTAAAACCTTATTGCAAATTTTGTTATTTTAAAAAGAATGGAGTTTGTGAGCATATTGAATGGAAAGTGATGTCCTGGAGAAAGGGCGGGTGGCATGAAGACCATGACTTTCCTCACTTCTTCAGAAATAAATA